TGTTACAACTAATCGTGGATCCCTTTAAGAGTTCTTCTGAAGTATTACGAAGACAATTTGTAGAAACAGGACATGATTTGAGGATTTTTACTATTATTTTCTTTTAAACATGTTACAGAAGTAATAAGAATAAATATATAATATCAAATATATTAACAAAATACACTAAACTGATTCAGATTAACATAAAACAATTAAAATAAAAAACCACCACGGTTAAAAGAAATCCTAGGGGGAACCCTGCATCACATACACACTCAAGTCTGGATTTGGTTTCAGATATAGTACGGGGTTGAACTTCATAACAACTCGTTGCATCTATGAATCCATGTTGATGTAATATAGCACATTATAATAAACCTGAGCTTTCTTTGGCTCTTCCTTGCTTCATCTTTCATTGCAGACAGTTCCTTCTTGATGAATGCCAGGATCATCAAATGTGCACATGTGAAGAGCCCACTGCCTCCAGTGGAAGACGATATGCATGGTCTCCACATGTGCAAACCGATATGAACCGTACCGATAGTCATGTTTATACTATTTTTGGGTCAGCTGCGTCCAAGTGTTCAACCCTGCATTTGTCTAGTCAAGCTCACATTCCAGTCTGATAAGAGGCAATAATGTGCTGCAAAGCTGATATGGCAATGTTCTATTGTAAAGAAAACATGTTTAATAATCAGTTTGTAATTATTATTATTATTATTATCATCATCATCATTATATTTTTGTTGGAGGTGTATTGCTACATTTTATTCTACATCTAGCAAAGCATTAATAAAAAAACAGCAACAATTAACAACAGCCAAATTATTTCAACCGAATATGGTGAGAAACGTCTAAAACTTGTTTGCACAAAAACAAACAATAAATCCACAGTTTAAACTATTATGTCATAAAAGGCTGATGAGGAGATCAGGTGTCCAATATAGCTTGAACTTATAACACAAGTCCCTACGGACTCCAAAGAGCTTTATACTTCAATCATTCACACACTGATGGTGGTCATCTGCAATGTAGCCTGGGGCACTGCCAGACCCTCTGACCACCACCAGCAGGCAATGACTGAAACGGAAGGAACGGGGGATCAAACTGGCAACCCACTGGTTACAGGACGACTCCCATAACTGCTCTGCAACAGCTGCCCCATGATACATCATTTATGGAAGTTATTGTGTGGATGAAAGTAAATAAGTGGGTGACTGTTTTGATTGGCTGAATTGTGATCTATGTTCTCAAAATCATTTTTAATTTATTTGTGATGTAATAGATAAAAACTAATAAAATTATTGGAGAAAAAAATGTATAAATATCTTGCTTAATACAGACATTTATAAGTTACTCAACATAATTACCGTAAGTACAATAGCTATATCTTACATTATAAAGCTACATTACAATCATTAATGAACTAAAAAAATTATAGAAGTTAAGAGAAGAATGCCCATGGATAAAAAAAAGTGTGTGTGTGTGTGTGGGGTGGGGGTGGGGGGGTAGGTTAGATTGGCTGTCAGTCAGTGAACACACACACAGCTTAACTTTTGCACTTTGGTCGATAAGGAAAGCTTTCAAGAATCCCCCCTTGATATCAGCAGGAGAGTGTGTTTACAAAGAGGACAAGGTGTGTTTGTGAGGCTGATAAGTGTGTGTGGGAGTGTACACAGCCACAGAGAATGTCAGTGAGATTAAGTGAGAGAGGAAAAGAAAACAGTGAGAAGCTACGAAAGAGGGAAAGAACAGAAAATGTCCAGTTATACAACATGCTGTGTGTACTGTAGTAGTGTGTGAGATCATGTGTGTGTGGGCATGTTTTTGCTACATCGTGGGAACCATTTCCCCCCAAAAAAAGGCAACCTTGTAGGGACCGAATGTGCATTGTGGGGACCAATGCCCGGTTCCCATGGGTACGGATGCTAATTTCGGGTGGTGGGTTTAGATTCAGGACCAAGCTGTGAATTCAGTTTAGGTTAGTTTTAGGGTCAGGTAGGTACCTGTGAGGTTAATTTTAGGGTAAATGGTCAGGGTTAGGATATAAATTTCCAGAAAATGAATGGAAGTCAATCCACGGTCCCCACAGGGTTATAAAAACAAACGTGTGTGTGTGTGAGTAATGCATGCATAAATGACAGACAGGGACATGAAAGCCTGAGAAGCGATGGGACGGGGAGGCGACAGCTGTCAACTGCAGTATCTTACAGTCATGACATTCCCCACATGTCTGCAACATTACACACGCTCAGCTCAGACCTGTGTTCACGTGAACATATGTGTTCAAACTGACAACACGTGGCAGTCTGAAAAATACTTTTCCTATTAAGCAATGAAACAAGATACTGACTTCAGAAGGTGTAATACTGAAACAAATATATTAACATTTAATAATTAATATTTTACAAGACAATACACGTGGTACTTATTAAACATGTATTATACAGAAGTGACAGTAATAAAAATGGTTTTGTCACTTTTTACTAGTCTCTCATGATTAATTTTAACACCTCATTTCTTTTTTCTTCTAACAATTCCCAACAAAGATTTCTGCACTTTTAGTAATGTTTTGGACAGTTCTTAAATCTAATTATTTCAATTTCAATTTTGTTCTATTCTGACATGGTTATTTAAGGAAATGAAAAACTATTCCCCGAGTTAGTAAAGGTCAACTTGCTGTCAGTTAAAACATTCATCACTGCAGGATTTTTTTTCCAATAGACAGTCTGTCTGACAGTCCGTCTGCTGAAAATAGTCTAGACTTTTTGAAATGATGTATTATCGTGCATTGCAACACCATGCATGAACTCTCTGCAGCTCCTTATGTTCTTAAGCTCACAAACAGTAAAGACTGAAATTACTTAGCATATCACAGAAATAACCTTATTTATTATTTACTGCAGTCCAGTGTTGTTTTTGTTAACGATGACAAAATATTTTCATTGATGCCCCCTTTTTTTCATGACAATAACGAGACGGTAACGAAATAAACATAGCTTGTCGATGACTAAGGGTGTATTCAGACCAGGAAAGTCCTTTGGTCCAATTGTTTGGTCCGGACCAAAAATGGACTTTATTTTTTTCGTTTGGTGCGGTTTGTATTCACATTGTGCTTTTTTGCAAACGAACTATAACTTGTAAACAAAGCCACGAGGCTGACGATCATTGCTCCCATTGGACAAAAAAAGGACCGGGGCGGGACTGAGCCACAGACCCAGAAGAAAACAAGGAAGTCCTGCATGCTGCAGTTCTGATGCGCACATTTTTGCTGATAGTACAACTGCAATAGCATGTAAAATGTCAGAAGCAGCTAATTTAATGGTGGTTCCGTGATGATATTCTAATTTTGGAGCGACGTCAGTAAATGTGTCCCGCAACCCAAAGGAGACGAGGTGCTCTGTGTGTTCTGACCCACTACTTGCTGACAGCAGAGCTGCTAACAGTAGACGATGAAACAGGTATGATTTCAGTTTATTTAGCTCAGCAATAGTAGCCTGTGAAGTCCAAAAAGGCGCATGTTTAATGCAGTTGGTTCGGTTAGAGTCCGGTCTGTATTCACACCAGAAGAGAACTAAAGTGAACCGCACCAGAGTTAGTTTGGAAACGAACCGAGACCACCTCAAAAAGCAGGTCTCGGTCCGGTTGTTTGATCCGCACCAGAGTTCGCATGACTGTATTCACACCTGCACAAAAGGTCCGGACCAACGCTGGAAACGAACTCTGGTTCGTTTAAAACGGAGCAAATGATCAGGTCTGAATACGACCTAAAACATGACAAAACGTGTGTGAGTTTTCATTGACGAGACTGTAACGAAAATGTTAGTTGGTGGTCTGTCAATCATTTAGAATGCAGAGTGGAGGGAGGGACAGCAGCGCTATTACACACGCACACACACCACTTCCTCCTCTCATTCAGTAAAGAAGGAAGACAAACAGCCTGAGCCACTTCGCAAAAAATAAAAACCAAATAAATACATAAATAAATAAAAAAGTCAGTCCATCACCTGTAGCTTAACCAGAGAGTAACGTCTCCAAAATGATTAAAAGCTGCAGCAGGTCCAATCTGAGCTTAGAAGCTGTTTGTTTACGTTCATGACGAAAGTAAAACTTTTTGATTTTTTTTTTTTTTTTTTTGCCGGGGGGAGTTAGCAACTGCACATCAGTGCTTCTGTTCTGAATAAAAACCTGGTGCATGTAAACACTCGTTTGCACAAGTTTAATAGTCTACTAAGTTTAGGACTGCATGATGTCCGTTTTTATAAATAAGATGTATCTTTACCATCCTGGCTGACAAGTCTGAGTTGAACATGTGTGTTCCCCTTTTTTGTTTATAATATTGGGCATGTGTATTTTGTATGTTCATTGCACTTTAGCAAATTCTGAGAAATAAAGCCACAAAGTGAGAATGTTTTTGTTTTGGGCATTTTTAGAGTAACACAAATTCACAAATGTTAACACAAATTACTCAAATTAATTTGTGAAGACTAATATGTTGTCTTTTTTTAAGACCAAAGCTAAACCATTTTTTAAGGGGATCCCCAATTAGTTGTAACATTATACTTTATTTGATAAACATTTATTTTAACTGTAAAATAAAGACTGTAAAAATACTGTAGGATGTTTAGTTTTGTAAATTTTTAAAAATATATTACATGGACGGAGCCATTTTATTTACACGCAAACTATTCTGGGTAAATGATGATGCGGATAGGTCCTCGGTGTGAGCGAGCTATATCCACCCTGAAGGTTAATCTTGGACAATATCTGATGATCGACTCTTTTAAATGAAACCAGAGAGCGTTGACAGAGAGGAGAAGGTAGAAATGACTCAGCCTGGAACTGAAAATATGGATGGAGGACAACAGAGCTGCTTCATGGAAGAAGAACCTCAGCTTAGACTGTTAGCTTTTGTGCTAGCACTGACGCTACATTGCCTTATATGTATTAGCTCGGTGCTAATGCGACAAACAAACTAAACTGATGTCCTCCATCCATATTTTCAGTTACAGGCTGAGTCATTTCTACCTTCTCTCTGTCAACGCTCTCTGGTTTTATTTAAACACAGCTGAACACAGTTCAGGAAGAATGGATACTAATGCGTTCCAAGTTCCCTGAATCTCATCTGAACAGGACTAACCTTTTAAAGTATCAAAGTACTTTTGGTAGCCACTCCAATAATGACTTGGTGGAAATTTCGAAGCTTGACCCTATATGTTTTTATTTGTAAACCTTGAGTACTTGTGCAATGTGTCTGTCAGCTCAGATTTTATCTTCACTATTAAAATAAATGTTTTAGAGAGCTGAGTGGAAGCATGTTCTTTAAGTTACTACAAATTGAACGAAAGGAGTTGATCTTACGAGGCAACATGTCACAGCTGAGGTGACGATTCAGTTTATCTTCCAGTTTCAGCAGTAACGTTAGCTACAGGAAGAGAAACAGATGACAGGCATTATTATTTAAGCTGCTGCATGTCAATGAGAAAACTTGAATGTTCTAAAAATTACTTTAATAGGAAATGATCAACATATAAACTCTAAAACAAACTTACATGATACTTTAGTCCCTCCTCAACAGGTTCTATGTTACACTGCATTTGAATGACCTACAACAAAATGTAACAGATTTATAAAAGTTAAATCTAAGTTCAGAAAACATTGGGAAAAAGGAAAATTTGATGCTAAAACATTCCAACAAACGGCATGTCTTCAGTACATGCTACTGTACACACCCTTCGTGTCTCGAGCTCTGCAGGTTCAGGTGTGGGGGATTTGACCAAAGGAATGACAACAGGAGATTTGACTGTCTTTTGTTGAGTCTGCTGTGGACTCGGTACCCCAAAAGCTGTCATTGGATAAATACCATTCCTAATTGAAAAGGTACGGCAGAGGGGAAAAGGGGATTTAAAATGGGTAAAAGAAGAGAAAATTGAAATGTTTATAACACACGGGTGCAGAGTTATAAAGTAACTAAGTACAAATACTTTGTTACTGCATTTAAGTAGAAATTTTGGTTATCTGTACTTTACTTGAGTAATTATTTTTCAGCGTACTTTTTACTTTTACTCATTACATTTTTACACAATTATCTGTACTTTCTACTCACTACATTTTTTAAAAAGGTAAGAAGTAGAAAGTCGTTACTCCTATTTTATTCTCAGTTGTTATTACTTAAAAAAATACTATCCTGATAAATTGTGTCTCCTGGACAGAGTGAATTTAATTGTGGTTGGATGAGAAGTATAAATATTTACCATTCTGACACCCTATTAACTTGTACACAACCCATCACAGCTGCACGCTGTTAGAAAAAATATTTTTTGGAGAAGTCACCTCCCAATAAATGTCATTTTGGAAAATCTAACTGCTTACTTTTACTCAGTACTTTTACTTTTAATACTTAAGTAGATTTTGTGTTAGAAATTTACTTTTGATACTTAAGTACAAAAAATATCAGATACTTTAAGACTTTTACTCAAGTAATATTTTTGGAGAAGACTTTAACTTTTACCAAAGTAATTTTATGATAAGATACTTGTACTTTCACTCAAGTATCATTTTGAGGTACTTTATACAACACTGCATGGGTGTCAAAGAAGAGAAACAGACAGGTGATATTAGTGAGAGTCAAAATCAACACTGGATCCATAAGACCATAAAATCTGTGAAGATTCCAGGACACTGAATAATAACAAAACATGTATTTGTGATTGCCGAAGCAGGCGTCACAACTATATGAAGGCTCACTACTACCCCCAAGTGGCCAGATAATGTATTTTCATTTTATCTTATTCTTATTAACTTCTTACTGTACATCCTCCAGGAATTTATCAAGTTCCAAAGCAGGAAACTGTGACAGCCTAAAATCAAACAAACAAACAAATCACTTTTTGAGACCTTTAAAATATGACAGTTTAAAGAATAACTTTTTTTATTTACTTGAGCTGAACATCCTCTTTAGTCACAGCAATGACCAGATTGGGATCCAACTTCTTGGTCAGCTCCTCAAGGGCATTTTCAGGAATCACGTCTGAGCAACAAAAACACAAAATAATAGATCAACACCCTTAAAAATAACTCCTATTGTTGTCTCAGTTAGGGTTCTACTAAAAGCTGACTTTAGCAATGCCATGCCAGACTTTACTGACATGTGTTTTCTAGCATCACATATATAAAAACACAAAATGTGATTTTATCAAGTTGGTATTACATTGTCATAAGCGGTTCACGAACCTGACTTGCAAATATTAGTTTTGCCTTTTTTATACAAATACACACGGTTCTAAGAAAGAACAATATTTTTTCTGTCATAAAGAGTGCACTGATAGCGAGTCAACGCTCAACTATTCAATCTATTTTCTATTCAAATAGTAAACTAAAGCCGTTATGCATCCAATTATATTTGTGTGTGTGTGTGTGTGTGTGTGTGTGTGTGTGTGTGTGTGTGTGTGTGTGTGTGTGTGTGACTCACGATGGTGGCTGACAATACAGTGAGCAGCCAACAGTTTTAGGAGCGGCACTTCAAAGAGAGCTTGATCAAACAGCAGCTCCCGGGCTGTGGGTCTTACACTGGGATCATTCTCAAGGCACTTTTGGATTAACTTCTTAAAAAACAATTAAAATGAACATTATGTTACACACGTCTAAAGCAGTATTATTATTATTATTATTATTATTATTATTATTATTATTATTAAAGACTAAAGGTTTAATCTCTGGATCTCACCCTCTGCAGCGGGTCCTCCAGTAACTGTATGGAGTTGTCGATGGCTTCCTGAGAAACATATGAGGAATCTCCATTTCCCTGAATTTCTAAAAGTGCCATCTGCAACACATCAACACATTGTTAAAAAAAAGAACATCTTTAAACACAAAAAAGACTCAAGCTATTAAATGTAACCTTTTAGGACATACCTCTAAGGCACACATTCCAAAAGAGTAAATATCTACAGCCGTGGTAACATCATTATCAGCTAAAATGACAGAACAAAACGAAAAGGAAGCAGATGTTACAAATATCACTTCATAGCAAAGTCCAGACTTCAGACACACAAAAATCAAAGATGCTGTAAAACTTTAACATACCAGCTGAACACTAGAAACAGCCACAAGATCAAAACTGATACCATTTGGTTTAACTTGCATTCTCAAAACAATGATTTGATAATTAAAGATTAAATCCTTTATCTATCTCAGGATATAAACTATGAAACACTGAGTCTTTAGTTTGTCCATGTCTTTTAAATTAATTATGAAAAAGGTACAGCTCTCATTTATGGTGGGTTGATTTTGAAGCCAGTCTCATTTTGTTGCAGGAACAAATTCTGCTTTCTTTATAAATTAAGCCAGATTTTTGTTGAGGTCGCTCCTTCTTAATATTTATGTTTGATTCAGCGTTTACTTTTTCTATTTCTGAACCTTTTCTAACGTTAAACTATAAATATCAGAAACAGAGAAGAAGAAAAGCAGTCAACTTTCATTCTAGTTATGTCTACCTCCATATTCAGGAGCAAAGAAGTGCAAGTTTTTCTGTTCCTCGTGGAATGTCTTTACATGGTTGTTGATGGTGTCTGGAGCCACTGTGGATAAGGGAAAAAAGTATAAATTTATTTTTGACAAACCCAACAAGTAAGGAGTTAAGTACATATAAAGTACAAATCATAAACATAAAATATAGATAGTAAGCAGAGTAAGAAAAAGATATGTGATAAAAGGTGTAGGTGTCTCAGAGGAAAATACACAATATTAGCATTTCCTCAGCTTTATTCAGCTATGGAAAATGATGCCTAAAAATGTTTAGGATCAACGACTGTAAACCAACAGTGAAACACAAAACTGAATGAGTTTAAACAAATATTCACAATTAGTTCACAAAAACCTTTAATTCCCATCATGGAAATGCAAATTCAAATTAAAGCAAATTGAAATTTTCAATTATTTAATAATTTACAGCTCCACTACTTCAAACTAGCAGGATGAACTCTGTAATTCTATACCTGATCCGATCTTAATGAGCCCGTTGTGCTGAATGAAGACTGTATCACATGTAAGGTTCCCATGAATGATAGGTGGGTCACATGAGTGCAGATAACTGCACAACATGAGGAAAAAAATAAAATAAATTCACAGATACATGCAACAATACTCGCTGAGAATCATCATCACTACAACACAACTGCATTTAGTTGTGGAAGGAAACCAAAAGCTGACCTGAGAGCAGACAGGATCTGTGTGCACCATCTCCTCCATGCCTGTGAGACCATACACTCTATCAGAGCACGTCAAGTTGACTTTTAAAACTGACTAAACATGGCTTGAGATTTTTTTTTTCTTTTTAAACCTAATGTAAACATTAGTGCACACTGTGGAGCCTCACCTCATTTCACCCTAAATCATTTAAACACCAAGTTCTTCTACTACATACCTTTTCATTCATAGTTTTATGATTTTTCTTTGTTTTCTTGAGAAACTGCTTCAGGCTTCCAGATGACATATATTCAGTGATAAAAATCACCTAGGAGAAAAACAAAACAAACACAGAGAGACACCATAAATTTTAAGCAATGACAAATTATTCAGCTGACAGAGGAATTAGTGTGTCAGAAGGTTTGACTCACCCTTGCCCTGTTGTCCTTTGTGTCAGCCCAATACTTGTGAAACTTGACAATATTGGCATGTTCCAAATGAATGAGGTTATCAAATACAGTCTTGACTTTCTCCTAAAACAAAGTATAAAACATGTCTGATCAACATTGAATAACCAATGATCAATAACCAACAATTTTACTGCAATGTCACTAAATAAAGTACATATAGTTAAAGCTTATCTACACAAGCAAATTATTTACCCTGAATACATCATAAGAATCACAAAATGTGTTCAGCTGCTCCATTATCATCTGACTGAACAAACTGAGTGTCAGAACGCTTCAAACAGATTATCTTTAATGGTTTCATTCCTTATCTGCATCACAGGGCCTCACCTCCAGAGGTTTTAAGTTTTTCCTCTCTGAGATCATGACTTCATTCCAAACCACCTCCACCCCTTCCTCTGTGTCCATGGCCAAATATGCAACATCTATCCCTGGGACATTCCGCTGATTCACCTGCATTTAAGAATAGAAATGACCCGTTGGATCACACATTTAAAAAAACATATTCAAAATCCATAAAACTTCACAAAGGAAGGAAAAATAAAATTGCTAGAGATTAAACCACTAGTAAACATGTTGACACTTAAACACAAAATGACTCACTAATTGGCCAGGGTGGTGTGGACCCATCCACTGACCCCTCCCCAGGGGGAAAACAGTGTATAGTGGCTGGCTGAAGCCACATTCAATGGGCTCTAACGTAACATCAGTCACATTATATGAACTGTTTATGTTGAGTACATCTCTTTTCAATATCTAATCATTTAAAAGGTTAAATGTGCTCCACATACGGTTGGTTAAATTGACCTTAGATCAAACATTCTCAATTCAAGATTTCCTTAATTTTGGGAGATCAGCCGATACTTAGATAAGATCTGTGGAAAAGATTGGCTTCTCATCGACCTCCACAAAGGCCTGAAAATCAGCCACGGTTCTCGTTTGCTCTGCTGTTAGCACTACCTAATGTCCAGGTAAAACAAGTTCGTAAATGTTTTTCAACAAAATAAGATTGGACATTGAAGGTGTATTGTGACTTTATAACATCTGAAAAAGTCAGTTATTAAAAAAAATGGTATTGGCCAAAATCAAATTAGGCAGGTCAGACTTTTTAAAGATTAGTGATTGGCCAGAGAACTGTAATGGGTACACCCTTAAAATAAAGCTTGAGGGTGAGATTTCTTTATAGCCTCATGGGCATCAGTTTTCCTTTCTTGAAATAATGATGAAATAAGTGACCCGACTTCTACAGTTTACCTTACATTTTACACTGTAAGAACTTTATGCTTCTTAATATTAAATTATTTGTGTATAAGCAATAATATAAAACTTGGTGTGTGTATATAATACTGAATGGACAGGAGAGGCTGAAGGGTATGCTGACTGATGAAACACGAACCCCAAATAATGGTGTTTCTGATTTACAGTAACCCTAAACAGCAGAAAGTGAACTTCCTTAAAAACGAGTATAACCACTGTGAGAGCTATATTTTTCCCGTTTATACAAGACACGTTGTTATTGTATCAAACTCTTAATCAGTGTGAAATGAACACTTTAAACTACAAGTTTAATGACTGAGCTTAGTAATAAATTTGGATGAAATTTTGACACAAACCCCATACGCCAGTATGTGGTGTTATACTACTTGTAACAATTACAGTCGGTTTTCCGAATATTTTATTGGAACTAAAACGTTCAGCCACTTTAAAATAAGTACAGGTCCTTCTCAAAAAATTAGCATATTGTGATAAAGTTCATTATTTTCTGTAATGTACTGATAAACAATAAACTTTCATATATTTTAGATTCATTGCACACCAACTGAAGTAGTTCAAGCCTTTTCTTGTTTTAATATTGATGATTTTGGCAAAAAAAGTATCCCTATCCCAATAGGGATACTTTGTGGTGCACACAAAGTATCCCTATCCCTATCTCAAAAAATTAGCATATCATGAAAAGGCTCTAAACGACTTATTAACCTAATTATCTGAATCAACAAATTAACTCTAAACACCTGCAAAAGATTCCTGAGGCTTTTAAAACCTCCCAGCCTGGTTCATTCCTCAAAACCACAATCATGGGTGAGACTGCTGACCTGACTGCTGTCCAGAAGGCCATCACTGACACCCTCAAGCAAGAGGGTAAGACACAGAAAGACATTTCTGAACCAATAGGCTGTTCCCAGAGTGCTGTATCAAGGCACCTCAGTGGGAAGTCTGTGGGAGGAAAAAGTGTGGCAGAAAACGCTGCACAACCAGAAGAGTTGTCAGTCAGTGATGGTCTGGGGTGCCATGTCAGCTGCTGATGTTGGTCCACTGTGTTTTATCAAGGCCAGGGTCAATGCAGCTATCAGGAGATGTTGGAGCACTTCATGCTTCCATCTGCTGAAAAGCTTTATGGAGATGAAGATTTCATTTTTCAGCATGACCTGGCACCTGCTCACAGTGCCAAAACCACTGATACTGCGAGGAGAAAGTTGAGAGACCCAAGAC